ATTTATTTGACAGAGAGAAAGCACATGAGATGGGGGGAGGGTCAGAAGGAGAAGCAGACTCCCTGCCGAGCAGGGAGCCCTATGCGGGACTCGATCCAGGGACTCCAGGATCATGACCTGAGCCGAAGGCAGTCGCTTAACCAACTGAGCCACCCAGGCGCCCCTTGTGTTCTATTTTTAATTATAAAATGAGATGCTTTCTGTTTAAAAAAAGGGTAATGTAGGCAAAACCTAAAGAAAAAATATGTTTTGAATAAACAAAGAAACTTTTTTAAAAGATGACACTGTACAATTGCTTTGTAATCGGCTTTTAGCACTTACCAGATAGTAAATATCTTTTCATGTCATTAAATATTTATGTACAGCATCATCAAATTTCATTTCAGTAACATACTTTTCAATGACTGTTTGGTATTCCATATTTATATTAATGTGCTTATCTTTTTCTAACTGATTTGGAGATCTGTTTGTATATGAAGTATGCTGACCACTGTGTGGTGCATGTATGTCATAAATATATTTTGCCAGCCGTTGGTTCCCTTTCAATTTTGTTTATAGTGTTGTTGCCATTCAGAAACTTCAGATTTATTTAAAGTCAAACCATTGATCTTTTTTGTAATGATTTACAACTTTTGGGATCACATTTGAATGTTCTTCCCTAACCAGAGATCATATATATTCATTTGTATTTTTGTTGTCATCACAGTTTTATGGTTTTATTTTCTTGCTTTAAGTGTTTAGATTCATTGGGAGTTTACCCTGGTACAAGGTTTGAGTCTGGGAATCTAACTTAATTTTTTTAATTTAAATTTTATTTATTTATTTGACAGAGAGAGAGAAAGCACAAGCAGGGGGAGCGGGAGAGGGAGAAGCAGACTCCCTGCTGAGCAGGGAGCCCTAGGCAGGATTCGATCCCAGGACCCTGGGACCATGACCTGAGCCGAAGGCAGCCACTTAACTGTCTGAGTCACCCAGGCGCCCCAAACTTAGTTTTTTAACTAAAAAAAAAACACAAACCACTCTAGCTAGTTGTGACCCTGGGGTGAGATGGGGGCTTCTCAGGCCAATTTCATCATGAGGCCAGGGCCCTTAGCTTATTGGTAACTGTCTGTATTCTCCTTCCCCACCAGGCCTTGGAGACCCGGGCGAGCCCCGGCCACACCCCGGGCTGTGTCACCTTTGTTCTGAATGACCACAGCATGGCCTTCACTGGAGATGCCCTGCTCATCCGAGGGTGTGGGCGGACGGACTTCCAGCAAGGTCACAGGCCCCTTTCCCTAGCCTGAGATCTTAGTACGGTTATGTGTGCACCAGGGTTTTAAGTACCTGTTGCAAGAATGAATGAATAGGTGTTAGACTGTTAGGGGGTCAGGATTAGATTGAAGAAGTTTAGCTGCTAGAGGGAGGGAGAGTTAGATTCATGGGTTAGCTATTGGGGAGCAGTTCAGCGGTTTACCTTGTTGGGAGACAGTTAGATGCAAAGGTGTATTCATTATCTATTGCTGTGAAACAAATTACCCCAGAACTTAATGACTTAAAGCAATGATTGACACTATGTCACATAGTTTATGAGAGTCAGGACTCTGGAAGCAGCTTCACTGGGTGGTTCAGTGTCGCTCCTGGGAGTGCAGTCAAGCTAGAGCCTGGGCTGCAGTCATCTGAAGGCTTGACCGGGGGGTCTGCTGCCAAGGTGCCTCACTCACATGGCTGGCAATCTGGCTCTGATTGTTGGCAGGAGGCCTCAGTTCCTTACCACATGGACCTCCCCACGGGGCTACTTTGTCTTCCTGACACAGCAGCTGGGTTCTCCCAAAGGGAATGGTCAGAGAGACATAGATGGACAAGCAGACAGAAGCCCTAATTTTTTTATTAAAGATTTTTATTTATTTGAGAGAGAGAGAGAGAACAAGCGGAGGGGGCAGGGGAGCATCAGAGGGAGAGAGAAGCAGACTCCCCGCTGAGTAGGGAGCCGGTGCAGGACTTGATCCTAGGACCCTGGGATTATGATCTGATCCAAAGGCAGATGCTTAACCTACTGAGCCACCGAGGCGCCCCTAATTTTTTTTTTTTTGAGTGACCTAGTCTTAGAAGTTAAACTCTGTCATTTCTGCAATATGCTATTTATTAGTTGCAAGTCACTTAGTCCAGACCACTAAGCCAAGGTGAGGAGAATTGTCACGTTTTGAACAGAAAAGTGTCAGTGAGTTTTTTGGACTTTTTTTTTTTTAATTTTTAAAATTTTTATTTATTTATTTATTTTTAATGTGGAATGCATCATGAATTTGCATGTCATCCTTGTGCAGGGGCCATGCTAAATCTTCTCTGTATTGTTCTAATTTTAGTTTGGTGCTGCCGAAGTGAGCACTTTTTATTATTATTTTTTAAAGATTATATATATATTTTTAAGTAATCTCTACACCCATTGTGGGGCTCAAACTTACAAGAGGTGCATGCGCTACAAAGTGAGCCAGCCGGGCACCCTGTGGACATTTTTTTTTTAAAGATTTTATTTATTTATTTGAGAGAAGGAGAGAGAGAGTGTGTGTGTGCAAGTGGGGAGAGGAGCAGAGGGAGAGGGACAAGCAGACTCTGCCCTGAGCAGGGAGACTGGCCGGGGGGGGGGGGGGCGGGCTTGGTCCCATGACCTGATACCATGACCTGAGCCAAAATCAAGAGTTGGAAACTTAACCGAGCGAGCCCCCCAGGCATCCCCCACTGTGGACATATTTTTAAACCTGAACATAAGGGGTGCCTGGGTGGCTCAGTTGGTTAGGCGACTGCCTTCGGCTCAGGTCATGATCCTGGAGTTCCAGGATCGAGTCCCGCATCGGGCTCCCTGCTCAGCGGGGAGTCTGCTTCTCCCTCTGACCCTCCCCCCTCTCTTTTGCTCTCTCTCTGTCTCATTCTCAAAAAAAAAACCTGAACATAAGGAGTTTAGGTGCTGGAGGTGTGGCAGGGGGAGGGGTGTGGAGTTTGATTCAGGAGTTTAGCTGGGAGGGAGCAGTTAGGTTCAGGAGTTTCACTGTGGGAAGGGAGGTCCAGAGAGGTTTGCCCCTGTCCTAATTTAGGACTCAGAGCTTGATGTTGGAACCATGAGCCCGTTTTCTTCTTTGGCCTCATGTCTTCGGTTTCTTACCTTCTAGTCCAGCCTCCCTGCCCAGAACCCTTCCTTGGCATCCCCAGGCTGAGGGCACAGCTCCTTGGTGCTTCAGGATCTCATCCCAACCTTATTTACCACCATGGTGAATTTCTCACCATTCCTCAATTCTTTGCATTTGCTGTTCCATCTGCCTACAATGAATGCCCTTCCCTCTCTTTCTGTGCCTAGACAAAGGGGTACTGGCAGGAAATGAAGAAGAGGGTTTAGCTACTTGATTTTATCCTCCCACCCTTTCTTGAGGAAAGGGGCTAGAAGGCTTCTCTCCTATTGATTTACTCACCTCTGAGCTTTCCCTTCCCAGGCTGTGCTAAGACCTTGTACCACTCAGTCCACGAAAAGATCTTCACGCTTCCAGGAGACTGTCTGATCTATCCTGCTCATGATTACCACGGTGAGGGCTTCCTGGAGGAGGAGTGGGTCTTACATAACTGTCCATTTGAGACAGAGTATGAAACTGCTGTAGTCCTTGTGGGGCATGGAGACCACAATTCCCAGAAATTTCTCTGCCCAAAAAGATCAAGTGCTTAGGTGTGCTGAGTGTGGATGTAGAAACAAGACTCCTAGAATTCCGGAGGGCATGCGTTTTCCTGGGACTTCCTTAGAGAGCTTAGGGAACGTGGGAAACTACATTTCCCATAGTGCCAGTCGAGGAGAGCAGGCGATCTTGGTAACATTCTGGGAAGAGCCTGTTAGTCCCGGGCCCGAGATGCACCCTAAGCCTCCTGGGAAATGTAGTCCTAGGAGGCCCCAGGCACTTTAGGGTTGATGTTCCTCGCCTCCCTTGGCCGCTAGGGCTCACAGTGTCCACCGTGGAGGAGGAGCGGACTTTGAACCCGCGGCTCACCCTCAGCTGTGAGGAGTTTGTCAAAGTCATGGACAACCTGAACTTGCCCAAGCCTCAGCAGATAGGTGAGCAGTTGGGGGGCCGGGACTCCTGGGTTTGAGGGAGGAGGGGGTTCAGGGCCAGAATTATGTTTCCCAAAGAAGGGCTCCTTGGATTTCTGGCCCCCCAGTGGGGCATGAGGGGGTCTGCTAGGGCCCCTTAGTTTCAGCCCTGGCTTTTTCCTTTCAGACTTTGCTGTTCCAGCTAATATGCGCTGTGGGATCCAGACTCCCCTTTCCTGACCCGGCTTTGTCAGGTGCTCATTTCTGTTAAGAATGCACTAGGTGGGGTACATTGAGAGGTGCCATTGCCAGGCCTCTCTTCTTCCCCTCCCTCACCAGCCCCTGAGCTTCTTAAATAAAAAAATATATATATTTTTTGCTCTGAATCTTATTTGTCTATTTTTGGGGGGGAAGCCGTTGGTTTTCTGATCTGAAGTGTCTGGTCTGAAGAGGCCAGGGAGGAGAGAGCAGGGTGAAGATGCAGGGTGCCCGGAAGGAGGACATTTTCTAACTCACAAGATCAAAAACAAACCTACCTGGGGCAGGGCTTCTCACCTCCTTGGATTAGAACACCATCTTGAGTTGGAGCCACTCACACCCGTAACACCCAGGAGAAGGTCCTTCACTCCTCCACGTCTCAGTTTCCTTATCTGTGCAATGGAAATAATACTAATAATAGGGTGTTGTGATGATCCAATGAGTCCACATGTATGAGGTGCCTTGGCACACTGCCTGCATGGCAGGTGCCCTATCAGTGGTGACTATTATTGTTACTATCATTTGGTCCAGGCACTTCCTGGCTGCACCAGAGTGACAGTGTGCCCAATGGTTAAGAACGCGGACTTTCCAGAGAACAAATCCAGCCTTGAGATTAACAACATGTCTAGACTTCCGGGCACATTTATCCCCCTCAGCCTCAGTTTCCCCACTTATAAAATGGAGATGGTAATCCCTTTCTCATTAGGCTATGGTAAGGATGAAATTAACGTGTGTCAAGTGTTTAGCACAGCTCCTGACATCCAATAATCCTGTCTCACATGCCAGTTATTTTCCTGTTTTTGCCCCGAGAGGAAAGGGTCTGGCTTAGACCTTTAACCTCTGCCCTCCACCCCATAGCAGAGTGGGGCGTGGGGGGGGGGCACACTTCCACTGTCTCTGGGCGGGTCTCTGACTCAGCCCAGGGCACCCCCTCCCCTTGCCCAGCTCCCCAAACCGGTCGGAGCCCTTCTAAAGGGCTCATTAGAGGGAGAGGCCCCTATCTCCATTCCCCCCTTCCTTTCAGGATTCCCGGGGTTGGGGCATTAGGGAGACGCTTATACATAGGTGACGAAGACGCCTAGTCCTCCAGGGGGCAGGAACGGGGCGGGGGGCGCTGGAGGCAGAGTGAGGGGTCGCCATGCTGGCTTTTCCGAGGGTGGGGCCGGTGGGCCCGGGATGGCCGGATGCCGTGGCCGCGGGCGGGGCAAACTGGTCGCTCCCTCCTCCCTCGGGGAGCTGTTGGACCTGTTGTCCCCCCCTCCACTTCCGGGCTGCTGGGGAGGGGGACAGAGCAGCTTCTCTCTCCTCCCTCTTCCCCAGCCACCTGTCCCGCAGACAGAAAAGGCAGCGCCCAGAGCGCAGAGGGACCAAGCACGCCGAAGCCTGAGCCGGTGAGGGGGCCGGGGCTGCGGGGGAGGAGGGAGCTGAAGACGGCCTTCTGGGCTCCCGGGAGTGGAGGGAGGCTGGAGTTTGGGAATCTAGCCCTGGGACGAGCAGAGGACGCAGACTCTTGGTTTGCTCGGGGAGGGAAAGTAGGAGCCCCGACTCCTGGTTTTCTGAGTGAGACGGCATGGACGCTGCTCCCCCCTACAGTAGTGTCGGAGCCAAGTCTACCAGCCTCGGGAAAGGAGGGAGTCCCGGAGGGAGAAGGAGATGGGGCCGCTCTAGGGTGCTCCAAGGGATTGTGGGGGGGTTGCTGGGAGGGTACAAGGCTCGACACCTGGGTAGGAGGGAGAGGCCAGTAGGGGGCGTGCGAAGACCCCCCAACTCAAATTCCGGTCCGGCCTTCGGGGGTGTGGCGCCCTGGGAGCCATCGAACCCCGCCCCTAGAAACTCCAAGCCACGCCCCCGGGGCGCTCAGTTCCAGTCTTTGATCTCTTAGGCCCCACCCCTGGAGCTCGTTCCGAGCGCCCGAGTCCTCGGGAGCCTCCTGGGCCGCATCCTCACGCTGCCAGGCCACGCCCCCGGAACTCGGGCCCGCCCACTCCTCTGGAGCATCGAGCGGCCATGGGGACGCCGAGCGGCCGGGACGAGGGGTGCCAGCCGCCTCCGGTCCCGGAGGGCGACGCGGAGGTCCCGCCCCAAGGGGCTGCGCAGCCCCAGGTGCACCCCGAGGACCCCCACGAGCCGGAGGCTCCCGAGGCCCCGGAGGAGCCCCAGGGAGTGAAGGAGCTTCCGAGCGGCCGAGGAGCTGAGCAGCAGGCTGAGGAAGAGGAAGAAGTGGAAGAAGGCAGCAGCACGGAGAGCAGCCGCGACGCGGTGAGGGACCTGGAGGGCGAAGGAGGGGTCCACGGGGGGCCCAGACAGACAGACGGTAGCGGGTGACAGAGCCACAGAGGGACAGGTATAGAGAGACCAGATAGAGACCTGGACACAGGGAGACCGAGAGACAAGGGAACCAAAGAGACAGAGACACAGAAAGACCAGAGACAGAGCCTCGGAGAGATGGGGATAGAGACACGGACAGAAACCCAGAAACAAAGGACAGAGATGCGCAGAAGGGAAATACTCTGAAAGGGAGAGAGACCTAGCGATTCAGAGATAGAGACAGATCCTGAGTCGGAGAGACAAAACCCAGAGAAACGGGGGAAAGACTCAGAGCGACCCGGGGAGAGAGGGAGAGAGATCCGGGTCTACCCAGGACCTGGGTAGCGAAACAGGGACCTTCCTTGAGTCGGCTGCGTGCGCCTCCTGCCCGGCCCGGGGGGCTCCCACACCTGCACCCTCCCCCACTTGAATAAACGGGCATGGCGACTGACTGGGGCTGATCAGACCCCCAGACCCGAGAATGGGGTGGGATCGGACCTGCCTGAAGACTGCCTTGGCGAGGCCTCTCCTCTTGAACACGCCCCTCTCCGACCTCAGGGGGAGGCTCCGCCCCCGGCACAGACCCCGGCCACGCCCCCCGCATCCACCCAGCCTGGGGAGGGGGTGCGAGGGGCGGCGCGGCGGCTTCGAGAACAGCAGCTGGAGGCACTGACCCGCGTGGCCCTGATGGAGCAGCGAGTGAAGGAGCTACAGCGCCAGAGGAAGGAGTTGAGGATCGAGGTGAGGCTGCGGACCTTGTGGGCAGTCTGGACCCCAGCTCAAGGGGAGCCCTCCAGGCCAGGCTCCCGGGCCTTGCCTCCAGCGGGATCCCACTCTTAGGCCTCCAGCCCTATCCTCCCTCCCTCCGAATCCAGGACCCCAGACTCCCAGGCACCCCACTTGGACCCAGGCGTCCGAGTCCCCAGCCTCCTCCTTCCTCGGACCCAGACCTCCGGGCCCCAGCCCGTACATTCTCCCCACAGATGGAGGTGGAAGTGGCCCTTCTGCGGGGCGAGCTGGCTGGGGAGCGGGTGGCTGCCCGGCGCGAGGAGGAGCAGCTCCGGGAGCTGCTGGGACAGCAGGGGGACACGAAGCGGGGCAGCCAGGAGCAGCAGGAACAGGTCAGTTTCTCCTGGGCGATCTTCACCGTCAGTTTCCTTCCTCATCGGACGGATATTCCTGGTGGTGCTCCTGGGACCTGAGCCCCAGGGTTATCCCCATTCCCCAAATGGGGATCCTTGGGCTGCGGGAGTGAGGGGTGGGCAGAATGCTTCTTGTTTTCCTTCTCCCTCCCCCACCATGATTCTGGGGCCTCTTCCCTTGGTCCTCTCTCTTTGCTCTTTAACTGTCATCTTGTGAAAAAGGGACGAACAGAATAGTCAGTCGGGTGGCTCTGTGGTGTGCTCACCAGCTTCAGCAGTAATCAGTCTTCCGTTCTTGTTTCATATCCCCCAGTTTGCTTCCCTCTCCCCCGTTTTAAAAGCCAGTGCCAGACATGATACTGTCTGTAAACTCTTTAACAGCCTGTTCACTCTTCAGGTCTGATAATGAAACAGGGATGGTGTTTTTAAAAACGGGGCCTTAGGGCGCCTGGGCGGCTCAGTCGTTAAGTGTCTGCCTTCAGCTCGGGTCCTGATGGTCCTGGGATCGAGCCCCACATCAGGCTCTCTGCTCAGTGGGGAGTCTGCTTCTTCCTCTCCCACTCCACTCCTTCTGTTCCCTCTGTTGCTGTCTCTCTCTCTGTCAAATAAATAAAATCTTTAAAAATAATAATAATAATAATAATAAAAGCAGAGGCCTAGCTCTACACACCTCCCTCTCTCTCACCCCCAAACCTGTGGTCAGTCAACATGTCCCGTCCTTTCTGCTCCCTGAACCTCTGCCTCTAGTCGTTCCAGTGCCCCAGGATAAGGGCTCCTCAGCCAGGCTGGCCAAACCAGACAGGAGCTGCGCCAAGCCTGCCTTTCTCTGTCACCTCCCTCTGTGCTCCTCATCTCTACCGTCTGACCAGAGTTTACCCCCGAAACTTCCTGTGCTTTTCAACTGTGCGTTTGTGCTGCTGCACTGTTCCCTCAGCCCAAAGCGCCCTTCCAGCTCCGTCTAGCTTGCGGGTCTAAATGTTCCCTGATTTTTGAGGCTTATCTTAAAATCCTCCCATCCAGGAAGATGCTCTCCAGTCTCGGTTCCTGTAGTCTCTGTGTTTCACTGCCCTGATCGTCCCAGCCTGTACAAGAGTGAACTAGACAGGGGCACCTGGGTGGCTCAGTCAGTTAAATGTCTGCCTTGGGCTCAGGTCATGATCCCAGGGCCCTGGGATCGAGCCCCACATCGGGCTCCCTGCTCGGCAGGGAGCCTCCTTCCTCCTCTCCCTTTGCTGCTTCCCCTGCTCATGCTCACGCTCTCACTCTCTCTCTAATAAATAAATCTTAAAAAAAAAAGAAAGTGAACCAGACAGACAGGGTCCCTGCAGTCTTGGAGCCAGCACCCAGGCAGGGTTCTGAGATCCAGCTAGCCTGGCCCGTGCTGGACTCTGTGTCTCTTCCTGTGTCCAGACTGGACTGGACTGAGAAGGCTGAGAGCCTGGCTGCTCTTTCAGGAACAAAGGCGGCTGAGCCAGGAGCGGGATCGAGTGGAGGGTCTTCGCCGAAGACTCCAGGAGGCCGAGGGACAGCTCGACTCCCAGCCGGAGGACCAGCGCGAGCGGCTCCTGCAGGGAGTACAGGAGGTGAGGGTCCTCCAGATCCTCTCCGGGACCTGGTATCCAGGCTGCTCTTTCCTCAGGCCCCAGACGTCCAGGCCCTCAGGCCCCTGTTCCCTCACCTAGGAGTTCAGGCCCCAGCCTTATAACTCCCAGGACTTGGGAGTCTAGGTCCTCAAGCCCCCTTCCCTCCTTGCCCAGGACTCCTGGCCCCAGCCCACTTACCCCGCCCCCCCCAGGATCCAGGCCCCCAGTGTTTGCATTCCCACCCCCAGATGAGGGAAGAGCTGGATATGGCCCAGCGTGCCTACGAGGACCTCGAGTTCCAGCAGCTGGAGCAGGAGAGCCGGCGGGAGGAGGAGGACCAGGACAGCCCTGGGGCCTGGGCACTGGACCCCAAGGTCCGGGAACTCCAGGCCAGTGTGGCGCAGCACAGGGTGAGTCGGGCGGGGCGGGGCTCGCCCTCCCTCCCTCCCTCCCTCCCTCCCTTGCCGCTGCCCTCTGACTCCTCCATTACCCTCTCTGGCCCTTTCTCTCATCCTTTCCCACCTGCCTCACCGTCTTCAGAAGAGTAACAACAATGACTGATGTTTACTGAGCATTTACTATGTGCCAGTCATGGTCCTAAATGTTTCATGAGTCCTTACTCATCAAATCTTTACAAGAATCTGGGCAGGCCAATCTGACTCCCCCCCCCCCACTTTATAATGAAGAAACTGAAGGTCAAGGTGCTCAAGTAACCTTTTCCAAGGTTGCTCAGTTTGTAGAGGGTGGAGCTGGGATCTGAACCTACTCAGTTCGGATGTAGGACTCCTTTCTCCACCTCCATTTCTGGATCTTCTCCCTGTCACTCTCTTTTCCCTTCTGTCTGCACTTTGTCTCCTTGCTCACATCTTCCTCTTGGGGACTGTCTTGGTCCTTTTTTTTTTATCTGTTCTAGTTGGTCTCTCTGTCCCTTTCCCTTTCTGTTCTCCGCAACTCTCTCTGGGTCTGTCCATCAGCTCCTCCGCCACGCCCCCCCAAGCCACCCCAGGTGTCTTCCCGATCCCCAAAAGGGAAGAGGGCACCAGGAAACTTAACTCCCCACCCGCTTATGGGCACCCAGGTCCCGGGGATCTCTGTTACGGGGTGCAGCAAACCCCAGGCTCTCGAGGAGGACTTGGCTCTGTGGGAGCCAGCTGGGAGCCCTGGGACAGCTGAGTAACCAGGGCTCTGGGCCGTGCCCTGCAGCGCCGGATCCAGGTCTTAGAGGAGCAGCTCAAGTCGCTCGGGGGGCAGATGGCAGCTGAGAGCAGGGGGCTGAGCCGGAAGAAGGACGAGGCTCTTCAGGCCCTGATGCAGGTGAGTTCTCCTGGGAGACCTGTCCGACTGTCCTCACATCCCTCTGGGGCAATCCATCGCCACTCTGCACCCCAAGATGCCTCCCGGCACCAGGGAAGGCTGCTGGGACGGCCCATTCTGAGTCTGTGATGTGCTAGCCGGTGATAACTTGCTCTGCCTTAGGAACGGAGCCGCCTGCTCGAGCTTAATTGCCTCCAGGGAACCCCGGGTGGAGACTTCTCTGAGTCCAACCAGGCCCTCACTAAGGTATGGGGACTTCATGCACCTGTCAGCCCCTCCGCCCTCTGACCCAGAAGTCCATCCCCCAGCCTCTTCCTCCTCCCTCGGGAGTCCAGGCCCACAGACCCCTTTTCCCTTGGGATCCACAGTTCTCAGTCCTTAAACACTTTTACCATTGGGACCCAGGAGTTCGGGCCCCCAGCCCCTCCCCCTCAGTGAACCTGTGGTCTTGCCCACAGTCCTTGCTCACCTAAGACCACAGTCCAGCTCCCTTGTGACCTGGAGCCTTTGTTTTTCCATCTGAGAAATGGGCCGACACTGGAGACAAGGGCCAGAGCTCCCGGGAACGGGTGGGCCCTCTGTGATCCTTCCAGCTCCTGTTAACCTTCAACCCCTCTCCTGAAGCTCCTGTTCACCCAGAAGACAGACCACCAGCTGCTGGTGCTCCAGGACCCTGCCACCCACACTGCCTCTACCACTTCCTCCTGCCTCTTCTCGGTCCACAGCTCCCTGCAGGTACCTCGGCTCCCCGGGCCACTGTCTGGCTGTCACTCGCATCTCCAGAACTTGCCCTGTGGCTTTTTCCGCCCTGGGGGCCTGGGGGAGAGGGAAGGATGAACAAGGGGTATTTTGATTTTTATTAGGCTCAAGCTTTACTTACTGATTTTCTTTCTTCTTCCTAACACCCCACCACTCCCCTGGCAGAATGGGACTGGGTGCACCCAGCAGTAAATTTGAAAAGCAGCTAAACAGGGCGTGTTTAGGATACGAAGGCCCCCTCTCTCCACCCCACGGGCCCACAGCCCCCATCCCCAGCATGGCTACTTGTTTCTTTGGTACCCCTCCTTCCAGATCTCCTTGAGACTGGGGCGGTGGGGGGTCCCCACTTATTAACGGGTTACAACATTCATTGTTACTAACTCTTTAAACTGAAACAGAGTAGAGAGTGTCAGAGCCTGTGCAGGAGGCAGGGGGTGAATATTAGGTGAAGTTTTGTTTCAGTTTGTGTGGATGCTTGGTAAACACTTAGAAATTGGTAGCTGTTTTTTTTTTTTTTTAAGATCTTATTTATTTATTTGAGAGAGAGAGACGGAGATAGGGAGAGAGAACGGGAGTGGGGAGGAGAGGGAGAAGCAGGCTCCCCACTGAGCAGGGAACCCGATGTGGGGCTCGATCCCAGGACCCTGAATCATGGCCTGAGCCGAAGGCAGATGCTTAACTGACTGAGGCACCCAGGCGCCCCAAAATTGGTAGCTCTGATGCAAACTTTTTTTCAGAAATGTGTAGATAAGCTATTCATTGGCTTTGATTTTCTAATTAACGCTCTATCGTGGAGACTGTTTTGTATTGATCCATTTAGAGCTGCCTGGTCATTTTTAATGACTCTCATGGTAACACTATAAACAGGAAGAATATGACACCTGATATTTGTTGAGTCCTTAGAGTGTGCCAGGCACTGTTTTAAGTGAGTCACACAGATTCGCTCAGTTGGTCTTTGCAACGATACTACCAGCTAGGTTCTTGCGTCCATTTTATAGGTAAAGAAACAGAGGCAGAGAGGTGAAGGTATTTAAATAGCTAGAATACAGTGGGGCTGGGATTTGAACTAGGCACTGGTTTCAGTACTCTAACTGCTCCAGGCTCCCGGTGTGGTGGGGGTTGCACAGGAGTTTCCACTGGGCACTGACCCAGCCCTCCCTCTGCCAATGGGGATTCAAGGCTTTTGTAGTTTAAGCAATGCTGTTATGAACACCCGTGTGTGCATGTGTCCTTTTTCGTATACCTAATAATAATATTAGTTAATATTATTACTAACGTATTGTCTAATGTCATTATATACCATATAAAATATTACTAGAATATGTACTATATATTATTTCTTATTTATTAATTAATGTTAACCAATATTAATAACGATCATGATTTTGGAGAGCTTAAGGTAGGCCAGGGTCGGCTCTAAGCCATTTTACCATTTTTTTTTAAGATTTTATTTATTTGTCAGAGAGAGTAGAGAGCGAGCACAAGCAGGGGGAGCGGCAGGCAGAGGGAGAAGCAGGCTCCCCGCTGAGCAGGGAGCCCCACGAGGGACTTGATCCCAGGACCCCGGGATCATGACCTGAGCCACCCAGGCATCTCCCATTTTATCATTTTGAAGCATGGAGTTGCTATTATTTGGACGTGAGAAGCAGCCATATGTTGGCAGTGTGACGTGGTTCAACCTCCTATCTGTATCATGAAATCTATCTATAAAATGAAAATATTCCATTCTTTGCTCAGAGGAACCCCCCAAGGTAGATCCCACTGTTGTGTGGGTAAAGGGTTTGCAGACTTCCCGTCTGGGAAATTCACTTTCCAGCTGGTTGCCCTGGCAGCCTGATAAAGGTGAAGGGTCAGCTGCATTGCCAGGCAACATGACTTACGATAAATATGACCCTTAGAAGTAAATTGCCGACCTATGAATACTTGCCGGGAAGCCGCATCCATTCCTATGGAGTTATTACCTGACTTAATTGGCTCCCGCGGACCCTGTGCCCACAGCTGGGGATCCCGTACCCACCTGGCACCTGGGTGCCACCTCGGGGGCCGATCCGGACACTCTCCTGGGTGCTTTGCACCAGGCCACTCAGTTAATCTTTGCATCAGTCACGCAGGGTGGTGGGACTAGTCACTCCCGAGTCACAGTCCTAGGAAGTGGCAGAGCTAGGTCTGGGCCAAGTCTGCCTGTTTTCCACGACCAGTGCCTTCCAGGAGGCCAGGGGGTCACAGGAATCCTTCAGAGTCCGGGTGGGCAGTGCCGCTGGCCCCAGCTCGGAGGTCACAAGAAGAACGCAGGGGGGATTTATTTACGTGGCCAGGTAAACAAACACAAGTGGATGCCGAGTGTGTGAATCAACAAATGACTCCTCCTGGCTCCTTCTCTCTCTCTCTCTCTCCCTCCCTCTCTCCCTCTCTCTCTCTCTCCCTCTCTCCCTCTCTCCCTCCAAGTCCCGTCAAGGCTCAAACTCCACCCCTTCTTTCCAGGATCCGGTGTTGCCCGAGCGAGTGTACAGACCCTGCTTGGGTTCAAATACCTGTTCTGCTGCTTCCTAGCTGGCTGAACTGAGATGCGTCTCTTTGCCTCAGTTTACTTAGCTGCCAAATGGGAATAATAACAGCGCCCACTGGTTGATGGCTACGGTGCTTAGCATGGTGCCTGGCACATAGGAGGTGTTTAGTGAATGTTCTGCCCTTACTCTGGTTATCATTACAATTATTAGGGTTATTATAATTATTAGCGCCCTTCTGCTACCCACTTCCACCCCCATCTCTGATTTTGTGAGCCTAGACCAGCCTCTTTCCTGAATGTCTCCATCTTACTTTTTGTCTCCCAGAAGTCTCTTCCCCACACAACAGCCAGAATGATCTCGACCCCTCCTACTTCAGTCCTCCCCCACCTAATGCTGTCAGTGGTCCCCCGAGCCTCCTCCCCTCAGCGAGCGGGTCCCTGCATGATCAGGCCCCTGCCCACTTCTCACCACTGTCCCCCACATACGCTCTGCTTTAGCTGCAGGAGCCCTGACCTGCCAACATTCCCTATTTGCTCCTGCCTCAGGGCCTTTGCATTTGCTGATCCTTCTACCTGGAACGCTGTTCCCCTCAATCTTCCCTGGCCCACTCTCATTCTTTGGGCCTTAGGGTCAGTGTCCAGAAGGCTGTCCCTAGTCTTCCAGTTGGAATCTGATCCTCTCTTAGGACACCTGATTCTCTTTGCTCACAGCTGTTTCTGATGATACAGTTATTTGTACGGTGGCTTATTCAGTTCCTACAACATGAGCGCCATGCAGACGTTTCCTCTCCCAGGCATCTCAGGTCTCAAGTAGGACGTGCTGGGGATAGCAGTTGAAGCAAGGAAAGAGTGAAGAGGCCCAGGGGCTCGGGACTCGGTGTCCTCCCTGCAGAGGGAAGTGAAACTTTGCCGACTCCCCGGGCTTCTAGAAGCTTCGGTGGCTCTGCAGGGTGCCAGGTATGCCGTGAGTTATGCCATGAACACTTGACAAATCCTGGCTGTTACTATTTTGTCCAACTTTTTTTTTTATTAAAGATAACACGCTTATAGAAAGTCACGTGGAACACACGCCCAGCTTAATTATTACATGGGAACATTCTGGAGCTGCCAACTATGTCAGGAGGCAGTACTGACAGCCACTCCGGAAACACACCACATGCCCCTGAACGATGACCCCACCCGCCTCCCAGGGGAGGACCACTGGCATGACGTTCCTAGCAATCTCTTCCTTACATTTCTTTAAAGTTCAATCAATTCAGTGTCTGTCCCTAAACACGATAGTTTCCTCTTTTTTTTTTTTTTTTTTTGGTGGCAGTATATTTTAAGTCTTTATAGACTTTCCCTCTGTTTTCTTTTTTTGTCCCCCTTGCAACTTACTTGGTGAAGAAACCAGATGGCTGTCCTGTAGAGTTTCCCAGGCAGGATTTGCTGATTGCGTCGTGGGGGTCATTGTCACCTCTCTGCCTCTTCGTATTTCCCGGGAAGTTTGCTGCGGGGGCCCGAGCAGAGGCAGGGTCAGTATTTTGCAAACCTCGATGGGGGCGGTGTGCCTGTTTCTCTTTCCCTGGCATGGATTCCTTCATCTGTTGGTCTAAGGAGAGGTCTCGAGTGGTAAAATTCCAATCTGTTATTCCTCCTTGGGGCGCCTGGGTGGCTCAGTCGGTTAAGCGTCTGCCTTTGGCCCAGGTCGTGATCCCAGGGTCTTGGGATCGAGCCCTGCATCGGGCTCCCTGCTCAGCGGGAGGCCTGCTTCTCCCTCTGCCCCCCTACCTCTCTGCCCCACTTGTGCTCTCTCTCTCTCTCTCAAATAAATAAATAAAATCTGTTATTCCTCCTCATCTATTCATTGAAATATTCCCATAGAGAGAGACTTGCCTTCCTGGGTAACCAGGGGTATGTTTTTTGTACAAAATGCAGGACACATGCTTGCTGGTTTCACTTTATTCACCTGTCTTCAAAATAAAAGAGTTGCTTCGGTTGCATCCTTTCCAAGGTAACCAATTCGATTTTTCCTTTACTGTTATCAACTCACGGATTAAATATATTTGATGAGTTGTGATCTATAGCAGTGAGTATCCTTATTGGTGCTCAAATTATGCAAGGTATTATTTTTATTATTTATTCTTTTTTTTTATTATTTTTTAAGTAATCTCTACACCCAACATGGGACTTGAACTCACAACCGCAAGATGAAGAGTCGCACGTTCTTCCCACTGAGCTGTCTACACGCCCCATTTCTATTCTTCGTTATCCATGCAGAGTTGGGTTTTTTTTTCTTTTTAAAAGTCAGTTTTATTTCTTTCTTTATTACTCTCAAATAAGAGTATTATTATAAATTATAACTTACTCTCAAATTTTCATCTTTGGTAACTTTTTATTTTAAAATAATGTAAGACTTACAGAAAAATGGCAGAAATAGTAGAAAGAATACCTGTGTATGTGGCTTTCAGATTCTGTAATTAACATTTTACCACACTGGACATTTGCTTTATTACTCTCTCTCTGTACATAAACACACACACACACACACACACACATATGCACACACAGACATTTTATTATTCTCTCAAAGCGTGATTTCCCCTTACCCCTAAATACTTCTACATTTATTACCCAAGGTCAAGGCCACTCTCTTACATAATCACACTGCAGTGATCAAATTCAGGAAACTAACGTTGAGATAATATTATTGAAATAACCAGATCTTATTCATATTTTGTCAGCTGTGCCCCTATTGTTTTTTTTTTTTTAAAGATTTTTTATTTATTTATTTGAGACAGAGAGAGAGCATGAGAGGGGGGAGGGTCCGAGGGAGAAGCAGACTCCCCACCGAGCAGGGAGCCGGATGCGGGACTCGATCCCGGGACTCCAGGATCATGACCTGAGCCCAAGGCAGTCTCTTAACCAACTGAGCCACCCAGGCGCCCCTGTGACCCTATTGTTTTTTCTAGCAAAAACAAACCAAAACAAAGCCCCTGTTTTTTTTCTGGCCCAGGAGGACAGGATACATTTGGTTGTCAGGTTTATTTTTTTAAAAAGCCAACATTCCCCTCATTCAAAGTTGGAGGGTATGGCAGGGTATTCAGAGAAATGACACTTCCCTCGTTGTCTCCAACCATTGTGTTCACCTTCTGGGGGCAGCCCCGGGTTACCAGTTTCTCGAGTCTTCTCAGAGATATTCAGTGCTTATACAGTCTGTTGTGAATACACTTTTGTCATCTTTTTATGCAGAGCTAGAATATTCTTCATGCTGCTGTACACTTGATTTTATCTTGGAGATTATTCTCTGTCTGGATAGAGAGAGCATCCTTCTCTTATACGCTGGAGAGCTTTCTGGGGTGTGGATGATGGCCGGTTTATATACTCCGCCTCCCTCTGATGGGCACTTAGGTCGTTCTCTGGCCTTTGCAGGGCATCACCTCAAACTCAAGTCATTTTGTACATGGATGAGTGTCGTCCGTAGGATATAGTCCTAGAAGTGGAGTTGGGACTCAAACGTTTTGGCATTTGCCATTTTAAAAATACAGAAAGCCACGAGTGCCTGGGTGGCTCAGTTGGTTAAGCGACTGCCTTCGGCTCAGGTCGTGATCCTGGAGTCCCGGGATCGAGTCCCGCGTCGGGCTCCCTGCTCGGCAGGGAGTCTGCTTCTCCCTCTGACCCTCTTCCCTCTCGTGCTCTCTATCTCTCATTCTCTCTCTCTCAAATAAATAAATAAAAAATCTTAAAAAAAAAAAAATACAGAAAGCCAAAGTGGCCTCTACGAAAGTTATTCCAGTAGAAACCTCCCCCTCCCCCAGCATTGTGGGGAGAGCCAACGTGGTAGGCTTTTTTTTTTTTAAAGTTTTATTGAGATATAATTGACCTACGCTACACTTCACTCATTTGAAGTGTACAATTCAGTGGGTTTTTGTATATTCACGGAGTGGTGCAGCTGTCCTCACACTCCATTTTAGAGCATATTCATCACGCCCAGAAGAACCCTGCATCCTCCAGCTGTCCCTGCTCAACCCCCCTCCTCCCCCCGAGCCCTGGCAACCACTCATCTCCTTCCTGTCTCTGGAGCTGCCCATTCTGCACATTGCCCTGTGCGGGCCTGTGTGCCTAGCTGCTTTCGCCCAGCATCGTGTTTACAGTAGCTTTCTGATCTGAGCCAAGGAGCCACTGGTTTTCCTTGGCAGCCCTCCGACTGGCAGTCAAGATTGAGCCCCTTCTCCCATACGCATGGGCCTTGTGTGTTTTCAGGGCTCCATCGGCCTCCAGAGGACTGGAAGCCTGCCCCAGAAGAGGGGAGAGAGAGCCAGCCAGAGGGGGTCCCCCCGACCTCTGTCCCTCCACTGCACTGGTGAGGGTCCTTCCCAATCCTGCGGACCTCCTTCCCCATCACCGCCCTTCCCCCTTCCTGTAGCAGGGGTGGAGGAATCCAGGTGCCTGGGGTTAGAGGTGGAGGGGCTTGGACAAGGGAGAATCCTGGCCCCCTAGCCCCAGCCCTTCTTCCCCAGGACCCCTCGAGGCCTCGGCCCTCCCACCAGCCTCAGGAGACTCTGGAAGACACCCGCTCTATCAGATGCTGAACGGTGGCCCTGGGAATAGGTGAGATGTCAGGGAGGGAGAAGGTGGGGACGTAGGAAGAGGCTGGGCCACTGTAACCCGCCCAGGTCTCTGTTCCCTCCTCCCAGCTGTGGGGCCCTCCATCCAGACATTGCCCGCATGGAGCGGCTCCTGCAGCAGGCTGTGGCAGAGAGGGAGCGACTGCTCAAGGCCAGGGTGAGACCCCGGGCCCTCCTCCTTACGGTCGGGAGCCCCTACTCCAGCCCCCCTCTTCCTTCAGACCCAGGAGTCCAGGCCCCCAACCCCCTCCTCCCTCAGACCCAGGAACCCAGTACGTTTTTCCCTTCTCCCCACTTCTTATTGCTTAGCATCCTCATTGACTCCTTCATCCTCACCCCACAGGAAGGGATGAGAAGAAGCAAAGAAGGTTCCTCAGGCCCTGCAGGACCTGCCGTCATGGTCAGTCCACCCCTGCCCTCAGCCCCACCTCCCTGTTCTGTTTCTGCCCCAGTCTCTGCTCTTTCTTCTCTCAGCCTCTCCTCTCCTCCAAAACAAAAGTGTCTGGGGCTTGGCCGGGGGCGTAGGGGGTAACTAAAAAGGCCTGGTTTCTGTTCCCATTGTGGTTATCTATATCCATGGCATGTCCTCGGGTAATATGCTCTACTTCTCTGTGCCTCAGTTTCCTCTTCTATAAATGGGTGATAAAGTCAGCAGTTACTGTAAAATGAGGGCAATGATATGCTGGTTTCAATTCAAATTTGATGCAAAATCACTTAAAACATTTAAAAATTTGATTCTTTTAAAAATCTTTATTATACAAATATTCAAGCATATGCAGAGGTAGAATAGATTGGTAAGCCCCCGTGTACCCACCACGCAGCTTCAATGATGACCGGTCTTTCTTTTTGTTTTTTTTAAGATTTTTATTTATTTTTAGTAATCTCTACACCCACCGTGGGGCTCAAACTCACGAACCCAAGAACAAGAGTCACAGAGTCGCACCCTCTACCAACTGAGCCAGCTGGGCTCTCCAGTGATTATCAGTCTCAAATCTTGTCTTAGTTGCCAACTTTGTTCTACTGATCCCTCACCTACTTCCCATGCTGCACTGGAATATTTTAAAGCAAAATCCAGATATTGTATCATTTCCTTCATACCTCACTGTGTATCTCCGATAGATAAGTTTTCTGTTTAATGTAACAAAAATGCCATTGCCATACTTTAGGAGATGATTAATAATTCTGTTACATCCTAATATGTGATCCACATTCACATCTCCCTAATTGTCTCTGAAATGTCTTTTTATGGTTGGTTATTTGAATCTGGATCCAAGAAAGTACACATAATGCATTTAAAATGTCTTCTAAATCTCTGAGATGAAGAGTCCTCCCTCCCTACTTTAAAAAAAAATGCCATTTATTTGTGGGGAAAAAAATTGAGTCATTTATCCTGCAGAGTTTTGCACATTCTGGATTTAGCTGATGGCTCCTTATTAAAATTTTATTTTTACCCCTGCTAATAGCATGAATACATTTTTGTTATAACAAATGCTATTGAATTTGGGGAAGTGAGGGTCTCCCCATTGTACCTCAGGAGGCACAAGTGTTTCCTCTTGTTGAAAAGGCTTCAGATCTTTAAGATCTTATTTATTTTATTAGAGAGAGAGAGAGAGAGTACGAAAGGGGGGAGTGGCAGAGGGAGAAGCAGGCTACCCGCTGAGCAGGGAGCCCGATGTGGGGCTCGATCCCAGGACCCTGGGATCATGACCTGAGCCGAAGGCAGACGCTTAGCCGACTGAGGCACCCAGGCACCCCCTTCGAATCTTTTTGAATACTTTCCACATACACTGATCAAATCCTTTTTTGTGAATTTATTTTTCCCATAAGCCAGCACATTGTTCTCAGTCTGCTTTTTGTTTTCTCAACCATCTGTCCTTTCCTTATTATTATTATTATTATTTTAATATTTCCTTTATTGAGTGCCTACTGTGTGGCAGGCCCAGGGTCACAACCCAAATAACAATCCCTGCCCTGGGGGAAGCCAGCATTTAGAGGCAGATGGACAGAAAAAGCAGCTTCAGTAAGTGAAATTTTAAGTAGCCTGTCAGGTGCTGATAAGCAGCAGGGAGTAAAATAAAGCAGGCAGGGCAGTGGAGCCTTCCGGGCTGCCAGGCATAAGCTCTACCTCATTAAAAATGAAGCACTCCTGCTTTGGAGCATCATTTATTAAACAGCCCCCTGCTCTGTCCGTCTTCGCCCCCGTTTCACCCCAAGCTGCTTTCTTGTGCGCACGCGCAAGTGTTTCTCTGGGATTCGCACCTAGAAGCGCAGTCGCGGGATTGAAGAACCTGACCTCAAGCTCGTCCTTGAAAACAGTCCTGTGAGGAGGGTACTGTGATAGCCCCCGAATTTCAGTGACGGGGAAACTGAGGCCCCGAGAGGGGCAGGGGTTCCGTGGGGGTGACATGGTGGGCGACGGTGGAGTCGAGAGTCCCGAGCCCACTGGCTCTCCTGGATTGAAGCCCCCGTTTTGCCATGTCCTACCTGGGTGACCTTGGTGAGCCACTTCCTCTCTAGAAGCCTCAGTTGCCTCATCTGGGAAATGGGGACAAGAGATAGGGTTTTTTTGTTTGTTTGTTTCTGGAGAGGAAGGTGTCCTCTGTGATCACTGTGATCACTTGGAACAGTGCCCGACAGGGAGTGGGACCTTTCATACACATTGGTGATCCTTAGTGTAACTTTTAATTTGGCCACAGGACCCATAGAAGATTCCAGGCCCCAGTGGGTGCCCTTTTAACTGCTAACTGCTCCTTCCCCTCCTATGCATCTCCCCTCCGCCTGGCTCTTCCCATCTCCATCCAGTGAGTCTCGTCTGTTTCTTGTCCTTCCTTGCCCTGGCCTCGCTTCTGTTTTCTCAGCCCTTGATACCCGAGGTGTGGTCCGTGGACCAGCAGCTTTGGTGGCCCGGGAGCTTGTTGGACCTGCAGAACCTCCCCCAACCCCTGACTGAACCCAAGGCTGCATTTTAACAAAATCCCTCGTGGGTCTGCCTGTCCGCTCAAGTCTGAGGCACACTGCTCTGAGACTCAGTGTGAGCATGGGGATCATTACCGTTCTTTGCAGGGATCAGAACAGGTGCAATCAGGCTGGGCCTCATACACACTGGATACTTTCATTGCCTTGGTTCTCCCCTCTCTGGCCTGAGATGACACTCTGCTGGCGAGTCCTGGCTCGGTCAGCTCTCGCTATGTAACTTGGGCCTAGTGACTTTACCTGAGTCTTGCTTTCCACATCTGTAAAATGGGAGTAATGATGTACATACCTCCCCCCCCACTTTTTTTTTTTAACTTACCTCCCAAGAGAGTTTGAGAGGGCAGAGGGATTATACCTATAAAGTGCTTAGCACAGGAAATAATCACTGATTTCATCACAACAAGAATAACAACAACAGTAATGGAAACCACTCTCATGTAGGGATCACTTACTTGGTCCCTGTTTCACAGTATATGAGGGTCCCACTGGGCTCCCTCACTTCTCTGCCAGACCTCTTGTGCTTCAGGGTAAGCTCTGGGGGCAGGAAGACCTGGGTTTGGGTTTCAGCTCTACCCCCTAGAAGCTCTGGATGACCTCGGGTGGATCATTTTACCTTCTTCCCTTTTTTTTTAGATTTTACTTAATTTATTTGACAGAGAGAGAGAGATCACAAGTAGGCAGACAGGCAGGCAGAGGGAGAGGGAGAAGCAGGCTCCCCACTGAGCAGGGAGCTCAATGCGGGGCTCGATCCCAGGACCCTGGGATCATGACCTGAGCTGAAGGCAGAAGCTTAACCAACTGAGCCACCCAGGCACCCCTCATTTTACCTTCTTGTACCTCAGTTTGCTCATCTGTAAAATGGGGCTCCCAGTAGCCCTGTCCCAGGGGCAATCATGGGGAGTCAAATTGTTGCTGCTAGTAAGACGGGGGCAGGGTATCCTAGTCACTGAGTGGAGCTGCCAGAATCATTCTTTGATTGGCCTTGTTTATATGGCTGGTTAAAGGCTGTGGCCGGCCTTACAGGGAAGCAGGGGAGCAGGACCCCCCGGGCTGCTGGACCACCCCCTCCCTGACGCTTTGATGTCAGCTGCCCCCTTCTCTTCCCTCCCCAGGCCCCGCCCACGCCCCCACCCCGCCCCCCAAGCCCTCGGGTCTTGGATCTCCGGCAGCACCTGGAACGCTGGGGCCACAGTCCCGAAAGCTGCCCACACCTAAGGGTGTCGGGAGGCTGCTGCCGCGGATCCTTGGTGAAGATGGGTGGCCGCATAAAGACCTGGAAGAAGCGGTGGTTCTGCTTCGACCGCCAGGCCCGCCGTCTGGCCTACTACGCCGGTAAGCCCGGCCTGGCCACCTGGGACCTTGGGCCCCCAGGACCCTGGAAGTGGCCCTTCCGGAGGCCTTCCGCACCAGACACCTAAGAGACCCGGCCCCCTGCCCCCTTCTCGCTCAGGCCCACGAGTCTGAATCCCCAGCCCTGTTAGCGACCCAGAATCCAAATCCCCAGCCCTCCTTGGTGACATGGGTAACACTCTCGTACAATTCTGGCTCCCCAAACCCCATTTTTTCCTAAGATACCTGGAAGGAATATGAACCGGCATTGTCCTTGCCCTCCCTGCACCCTCAACACCCAGGAGTCCAGGCCCCTCACCCTTCTTCTCCCGGGCAGTCAGTGATTCGGAACCTCTCCTGAGTCTCTTTTCTCCTCCAGGACCAAGGCCCTCAGGGACCTAGGATTCCAGCTCCCCAGACCCCATTCCCCAGTCTTGTCCAGTCTCCCTTCCAACCTCAACATTCACTCACCTCCCAACCAGGGTATCTTAGGGACCTCCAGACTCTGCCACCATTCCCTCACCCCAACACCAGTCTCAGGACTTGGGTCTAGCGACCCCTGCCCAGATACACAGACGCACACCTCTCACTAGCTCTCTCCCCCTCATCTCCCTCCGTTAGACAAGGAAGAGACCAAGCTCAAAGGCGTCATCTACTTCCAGGCCATTGAGGAAGTCTATTACGACCACTTACGCTGTGCCTTCAAGGTGAAGCCCCCGCTCGGTGCCCCCCCTGCCTTCCTGGTCAGAGCCCCTGCAGTCAGACCCTAGCTTGCCCCTGGGTAGACCGCACCATCAGGGTCCTCCATCCAGCCCAGAAGGAGCCCACCGGGTCATTTCACTGCAGCGACCACAAATTAAGAGCTCAGTCCCTGGCTCTCAGCCACTGTTAACTTTTCTTGGAGCAAAAGATGGAGAGCAGAAATTTGGCAAGCTCTTGAGGCCAAGCTGGGAATAAATGGATGAAGACGTCAGGGTAAGGATGGAGGCAGCCTGGGAGCATCTAGAGGAGGTGATCGTTTCTCAGCCTCTGCCCATAGTTGCCAAATGGGAATGGGCCACACGGTGTTACTTCATATTCTTTTGCCCTAAGGAACTCAGAAATTTGAAATTTGTACAAGTGCAGTGCCAGAAATCTAAATGTTGGCAACTGGTACGGTATTTAGAAAGCTCTGGGGAGCAACCGGCTATGGCCTTTTAGAGCTTAGGTTGGAATCCCAGCTGTGGGACATCAGTAAAGTGACTTCCTTTAGCCAGCCTTCACTTTCTCACCTGCAAAATGGGCACAGTGTAACCCATTTTCTCAGACTTGAGAAGGTTAACAGAAAGTAATGAATGGGTCTAAGGGATTTACTCAATTCAGGGTTGGCAAGTAGCTACTTAATAAATGGAGTGTAAATATTTGCTTTCTCCAGTTACAAACCAGGGGGACCTAGATTTGGGGGGATGTGAATGCTTATATTTCTAATATAGAAGGTAGGCTAGAAAGGGGACATGGGTCTTCCTTCTAAATTCCTCCTGCTCCCCAAATCGTAAGCCCCCAAATGTTAATTCATTTAATCTTCATAACCCAATGAGGTAGGTAGCATTATTTAGGAAGGCAGATGGGGAAACTGATTCAGAGAGTCTAAGTAACTTGTCCAATGCCATACAGCACATAAGTAGCAAGGCTGGGATTCGAACTCGTATGTTCTCTTAACCACCTTCATTCTGCTGCTTAACCCAGAGCCCCAACCCTCGCTTGACGTTCTGCGTGAAAACCTACGAACGCCTATTCTACATGGTGGCGCCCAGCCCGGAGGCCATGCGTATTTGGATGGACGTCATTGTGACAGCTGCTGATGAGAATCACGCCCCCTGAGGGGCCCCGCCCTCTTGGGGGCGTCCCGGCGAGGCTCCGCCCCCGCCGCGCCACCCGAGGCCCCGCCCGCTGCGGGAAGGGCTGGGTCCGCCCTTTTGGAACTTACGGGAATCCTGGAGGTGCCGCGGCTCGGCGGGCCTGAGCCGCGGTGTTTTGGGCTGCAGGTGCCTTCCCGCGACGGGAAGCCAGCCCTTGGGGCCCTGCCCCGGGCAGGAGGAAGATTGCAGGGGCGGGAAGGAACTATTTATTGGTGCTCCTGCAATACCGAATTAAACACGGAGGAAGACAGTTGTTGCTGCTGTGTATTTCTGGCACAGGCGTCCCAGGGCCCCTTAGCCCCTAGGCAGGACATCCGAGTTATAGGTATCTCTGAGAGCCAAGCGTCCCACAGCTCGCTCTCCTCTCTTTAGGAATGGAGGCTTCAACATTAAGGTCAAGGCTCAGAGAGGGAGGTGGGGAAGCATGCGTCCTTAATCTTTGGCAATTTTGTTTTTTTAGTTTGTGCCCCCCCCCGCCCCCCCCCCCGCTTCCACCCTTTTTGACTTGACTGGGCTGTTGGCAATTTTGAAGAACTTCTAGGCTCCTGTCCTCCGGGCCTTGGCACATAATTATTCCCTCTGCCCTGTCCTTAAGCAGCTGGCTCCTCGTTCCTCAGGTCTTGGGCTGTCCCCTCCTCCAGGAAGCCCTTCCTGCCCCCCTGGATCAAGCACCCCACTTTGAGCTCCCCTGTCCCATCCCTGAACACCCTAGGTCATCACTGGTAATGGATCTGTGTCCCATATGGACTAGGAGTCCCATGAGGTGAGAGCCAGTGGTGTCCTGGTTACTACCACATCCTCAGCACCATAGGGCACATTCATTCCATGAAAGTGGAAAAAATGCTTCCCTTTCACCTCTTGGTCTTTGTACATACTGTTCCTTTTGCTTAGGTACCTTTCCTCACTCCACCCTACTACTCATCATGTTGGTCACAGCTCAGATGTTTCCTTCACCAGGAAGCCTTCCCTGATTCTCCTGGCTGAGCAAGGTGCTTCCTCTGGGCTTCCTGTGCCAGCCAGCCGTGATCCAGCCTGTGCCTCCCGCATCACGGCCTTGACGACTCTGGGTCATCACTGTCGATGAGTGTGTCTTCTATGCTGGATGGGAGCCCCAGGAGGTTGTTCGAGTCACTATTCTGTCCTTGGCACACAGCAAAAGGCCTAAGTGCAAATTAGGTGCTGAAGGAACGTCTGCTGGCTGAATAAACTGATGAGAAAGAGCTGCTAAGGATCGAGGACAGCAGAGAACAAAGCAGACAAAGAAATGGCTCTTCATTCTTTCAGTCTTACTCAAGGTGTCCCCTCCTTTAGGAAGCTCTCCTTGATCCTTAGGCTGGATCAGGTGCCTATTCTGGGCTTCCACAGTCCCCTGGGATTGCTCACTACAGCCCTGACCACTCTAGGCCCTCACTGTGTAGAGACAGGTCTTCGCCCACTGGAAAGACCTCTCTGGAATGAGGCACTCAGTGTCTCTGGTTCCTAATTGCTTAGGGCCTGGGCATCCTGTTTCAGGATTTCTTAAGGCTCCAGATGCGGTACTCCTGAGTTTTGGGAATACAGACACCTCAATCCCCGGGCCCTCCAGGGACCGCTGTGTCCCTTGGCCTCCACCCCCAGGTGCCAGACATCTGGATTCTTGGTTCAATTCATCCCCCAGCCCCTCTGCAGACTGAGTGCTCACGGAGGCCAGCCTCTCAGACATGTGATCAGTGTAGTTGACAGGTCCCTGAGCCGAGAGCCCTTTCAGGTGTGATGCTCTGTGGTTGCCATCTGGAAATTCTTAATTTTCTTTTTGAACTTGGATCTCGTAAGTTCGGTCTGAAGGGATGTCAAGCATGCGCTAGAGGGGACTGGAGCCTTGGCTCACACACGGCTCCACCTGCCACCTCCCGCGTCCCTGGGACAGGTTCTGTCTGCCTTTCCCTCCCTGCCCCTGCCCCGTGACCACTGTCACCTCCAGGTTCAGCAGGGCCTGGGTGCAGCCGGGAAGAGCAGGGTCATGCACTCGTGCCTCATGGCATCTCGGGTGGGGCATGGCAGTGGGCAGCTGCCTACCAGAAGGGGAGCCCAGCAACCCAGTTGCTCTGGCTGTGGGACAAGGTCTGCAGATACTTGTGAGGGTCTGTGCTGTCAAGTGTCCAAGGTGTTTGCCTTTGGGAATATGACATCAAACACCAGGAGGAGTGGAGAAAGACGGCAGAAGAAAGGAAAAATGCATTTCTATTTTAATACCTTTGATGGCACTCTTTCCTGCCTTTTGAACCGGGTCCCCAATATTTACATTTTGCACCGAGCCCCACAAATTATGTAGCCAGCCCTGCCCCTAACCCCACCCCTTCCCTGACACATCCCAGATTCTATGTCCCAGAGGGAGTGGGTCTGAAGATAGGCTGGGAATGTCACCGGGCTCTGGACCTGCCTTGGCCCAGGGGACAGGAAACCATAGTGGATATGGCCTCAAGGTTGTCTGAGGCCCTGGCCTGACCTCCAGAGCTGGGGACTGCCTCTACACTGACCTCTCTGTTCACATATCTGGGGAACCAGGTTCTAGAATCACTTTGCAGTGACCTCTGGGAACAGGAGCAGGGAAGAATCACAGAGCAGGTGTAAGGAGAGGCCCCGCATTCAACCTTCCCTCTGCTCGCTGGGCCTGGGCCAGGTTGGGGTCAGCACCCAGGATCCAGGCAGGCCTGAGCAAGAGGAGACTCCCCGCCCTGGGTACCACTCCCTCCCAAGATGCTAGTTCTTCTGGTCTGGCTAGTTGGGGTTCCTCCCTGAAACTCTCCCACGCAGCTGGGGCCTGCAGGGCCTCTGGTCCCAAACACACAATAGTTACAGTATTATTACCCTGCCTCGCTCCATCCCTCAGGAGATAGGGGTTTTCAGGTCTTTTTGGCAAAAGAGGCAGCTGAAGTTCAGAGAGGGAGTCCCAGTTGCTTGTGGTCACACAGCAAGAGGATGGCACAGGCAGGATTAAAATTTCAGTCTGTCCAATTTCAGAGTTGATACTTTGATGCTCCTTCCTTTATTATAAAACAGATGTCTCAGAGGCTCAGAGAGGTAAAGACACTTCCTTGGGGTCACACAGCAAACCCTAAGTGGGGCTGGGATTTCAAGGCTGGAAGGCTGGAAGGCAAGGAGGCAGGGGCCCAGTGCTGGATGACTTCACAAGTAGTCATTCACTTTCTCTCTGTAAGCCTCAGCATGATGCCAAGTGACGTCACCTATATGACTGAGGTGCTAGTCATTATTGGAAATAGGGGTGCCCAACGGGGTCTGGGGAATAGATAATATCTTTGTGAACACAGCCGCTATTTTTCCCTGGCACAGAAACATCTTATCTATGAGCTGGGAAAAACAAAGGAAGGTTAGAGATGTAGCTTATATAATGATATAATATAGTATCATAATATAAATGTTATTATATAATAAACATAATCTATATAAATACTATAATATAACACAGCATAACGTAACATAGGCAGTCACTTATATGAGCCTGGATATGGGGATGCTTAGTCATTTTGCGGTTCGCAGGATGTTCTTGTTTGTTTCAGAATTCAGACACGGTCATGCAGTGGTCCTGAGTGTGTCCCCCTCCCGCACGTCACAGTGTGGCCCTGGCTGGGGTTGGTGTTCTGTGTTGGTGTTGGTGTGTAACAGAACCCCACGGCCTCACTGTGGGTGCCTGGCCAACTCCCTGATGTCAGGGGCTGCTTTTCTTTACCTGGAAGACTGCCCAGCTCCCTCACTGGTCTCCTGGCCTTCTCTCTCCTTCCAGAATCCTTTCCTTTTTTACACAGAGGCCACAGTGACATTCTTTTTTTTCTCTCTCTCTTTTCTTTTTTTCTTTGAGAGAGAGAGAGAATGAGAGATAGAGCGCATGAAAGGGAAGAGGGTCAGAGGGAGAAGCAGACTCCCCGCTGAGCAGGGAGCCCGATGCGGGACTCGATCCCGGGACTCCAGGACCATGACCCGAGCCGGAGGCAGTCGCCCAACCAACTGAGCCACCCAGGCGCCCCTCTTTTCTTTTTTTAAATATAATGTACATTTAGCGAAGTATATAAGTATACAGCTGTGTAATTCTTTTTTTTTTTTTTAAAGATTTTATTTATTTATTTGTCAGAGAGAGAGAGAGATAGAGCACAAGCAGGGGGAGCGGCAGGCAGAGGGAGAAGCAGGCTCCCCACTGAGCAAGGAGCCTAATGCGGGACTCGATCCCAGGACCCTGAGATCATGACCTGAGCCAAAGGCAGATGCTTAACCCACTGAGCCACCCAGGCGCCCCCAGCTGGGTAATTCTTTACAGATTTGTACACACGTATAACTACTGCCTGGAGGAAGATGGGGGCTCATCACCGTCGCTCCTTTGGGACGATGGAATCCGTGATCTGTTCTAGAACTTCATGTAAACGGAGTTACATGGTATGGTTTATTTGTGTAAGGCTTCTGAGCTCTACATAAATTTAGAGCCTCTTAACATTTATCCACCTTTCTCAGAATTCACTGAAATCTCTTCACAGGGCCTGTAATGTCCTGACCAGTCTAGCCCCTGCCTGGCTCTTGGGCCTCAGTGCCCACCTTCCTCCTCTTTGTCATCTGAGCAGAATGTCCTCCCTCTGCTTTGTAATTGGCTCTGCCCCCCTGTCTTTGAACCACAGCTTGAAGGACACCTTCCGGCAAGCTTCACTGACCAACCAGCCCCCACCCCTAGACTCCATACCTCCTTGGAGCTCCCTACACTTCTCCCTTCATTGTTCCTTGTATATAACAGTTTGTGTGATCACTTAATATCTGTCTCCCCCATCAGACAGTAAGCTCCGTGAGGATGGGCACTGGTTCTGTCTTGCCCTCCAACAGTTGCCCAAACCAAAGCTTGGCCCCCGTTAAGTACTCATGAAATATTTCCGGAGTGCTGAGTGTCGAGTAGACCCTTTTCCCCATTCTGAGCCTCAGTACTTTCCCCTCTACCTGCTCCCCACCCCCACCCGGGGCCCCCAAACACACAGACTTTCTCCTGGGGACTGTCAGGGAACCTTGCCTCCTGCCCTTTCCCTCCTCAGCAGCTGTGGGTGACGCACCCAGGGGTGGGTGCCCCGCCCCACGGCGGACGCTGATTTGGCCTGGTTGGGCAAGGCCAGGGTTGCCTGGGGGGAGGTTACTCATCCTGGGCTCAGGTAAGAGGGCCCAGGTTGGGAGGCGGCACACCCAGGGGGGACGCTGAGGGAGCAGGACGGAGTCATGGACCCTGCCAGGAAAGTAGGCGCCCAGGCAGTGATCCGGACGACAGGGCAGCTGTTGCTTCTGCTCCTTCTTGGAGGAGGTGGGTCTGTGGCCAGGAGGGGATGGAGGGGGCACAGTAGGGGCTCTAGGAAGGAGCTGTCTCCTACAGGGGGAGCTGTGGGGAGGATCTCCCATCCTGAGCAGAGGGGGCTGTGGGAAAGATCATCTGCTCCGGTCGAGGGGGCTGTGGGAGAGATCCCCCACTTTGGGCAGAGGGGGCTGTAGGGGAGGATTCCTGTCCTGGGGGACCGTGGGACAAGTTCTTCCATCCTGAGCAGATGGGGGCTGTGGGAAGGATCCCTGCCCTGGTCAGAAGGGCAGTGGGAAGGGATTCCTCACTGAGCTGCCTGGACTGTGGGAAGAGTTCTGCCATCATGAAGGGAGGACTGTGGGAAGGTGTCCCTCCCATCCAGAGCCGGGATCCCCCATCTTGAGCGTAAGGGGCTGTGGGAAGGATGCTCCCACTGCAGGCATAGGGGGCTTGAAGAAGAGGGGGCACCAGATTTGTGGGGAGGTTTTCCTTACTCCTGCCCTGGAAAACGGTGGGCAACAGCATTGTCCCGTCCCGGGGACAGAGGGCATGGGAAGGACCATTTCTCCTTTTCGGGACGAGGCTTCAGTAGGGATCCCCTAGTTCTACTCGGCCCTGCATCCCCAGGAGCGCAGGCCCTGGAGTGCTACAGCTGCGTGCAGAAAGCAGATGACGGATGCTCTCCGCAGAAGATCAAGACGGTGAAGTGCGCGCCGGGCGTGGACGTCTGCACAGAGGCCGTGGGGGCGGTGGAGACCAGTGAGTGGGGCCCTCTGGTCCTTTCCTACCCCTACACGCTCCGCCAGCCAGGCCCCGCCTCCTTTTGTCCCGCCCCTTCTGAATGGGCCCACATCCATCAGCGCCCTCAAAGCGTCCCTTTCAGCCTGGCTGGAAGCCCTTCAACACAGCCACGCCGTTAGGGCGCGGGACTGAGGGGTGAGTGGGGTGAACTGGGAAAGCCCGGATTTGGGACCCGGTCCCCTTCGTGGGCACACCCTATCCATTTGCGCCCCGCCCCTGAGACCTCCCTACTCACCCTGTCCCTGCCAGAATCCTCTATCCAGGTAGGCCCCTGATCCTGCAGACCCCTCTCGAGGTCTCCTTCTAGGTTCCCTAGACTGAGGCTCCGCCCCGCTGGCCCATTCCCGGGGGGAATGCCGCCCCTATCTAAGGCTACAGCTCCTGGGAGTCCCCACCTGTCTCTGCTCCTGTGCCCTTTCTGTCAGTTTCCCAGTTCCTTCTTAGGATGCTTTCTGCGGTTCCGTCCCTCTATCGCCCGGCCCCGTCCTACTCCACTCTTGGCCCTCCCCCCTCGGTTTTGTCCAGAGTCTGTCAGCCTGTCTGTTCCCTCGGACTCAGCTCTTTGAGGTTCTGCCCCTCCGTCTGTCGTTCGATCGGCTTTCTGAGGCCCCTGCCCTTCGACCCTGGCCCGGCTCTCTTCTGGGAGGGGGTAAGGGGGGGGTCCACTAGAGGCCCTGCCCCGAGGCCCCGCCCCTGACTCCGCCCCCTCCCCTCTCCGCAGTCCACGGGCAGTTCTCGGTGGCAGTGCGGGGCTGCGGTTCGGGGCTCCCGGGCAAGAATGACCGCGGCCTGGACCTTCACGGGCTTCTGGCCTTCATTCAGCTGCAGCAGTGCTCCCAGGACCGCTGCAACACCAAACTCAACCTCACGTCGCGAGCGCTCAACCCCGCAGGTCGGTGGGGGCGGGGCCCTAGGCTCGGGGGCGGAGCCACACCGCCGCTGAGCCACTAAGGTGATCCCAACCCGGAGGCGGGAGAACTCGACACGGGCTGGGGGCGGGGACACGTGGGGGTGGGACGCTAGGGGCGGGGCTATGGGGAGGGAGAGAGGCCACTGGGTGGGGGCGGGTCACACCCTGGGCGGGGCTAGGGGGACTGAGCCCGGTGTCCGTCGGGGGGCGGAGACGTGCTTCCGGAACCTTCTGGACCCCTTCTCTCCAACCCGCTGCCCTCGCAGGCAATGAGAGTGCGTACCCGCCCAACGGTGCCGAGTGCTACAGCTGCGTGGGGCTGAGCCGCGAGGCGTGCCAGGGCACGGCGCCGCCCGTCGTGAGCTGCTACAACGCCAGCGACCGGGTCTACAAGGGCTGCTTCGACGGTAACGTCACCCTGACGGCAGGTGAGCGAGTCGGGAGCTCGGGGTCGACAGGAGTTGTGGTAGCCTCTCTGAGGCCTCATGGGCGGTGGGTAGCCCTTTACCCGAAGAGTTCCCCCACCTCCAACACGTTCTGGAAACTGTAGGCCTAAGTTCTTGTCTTATGCTAGAGCGTCAGGAGAAATGCAGCTCTATCCCCAACGTAGCATGGGGCTACGGATGCTTTTGCTCTAGAGGTTTTTTGGGGGAAATGCATTTCCGTAGAGGCCTGCCAGGTGCAGAACGGCACGATGTGCTACGGGAAATGTAAGCCTCCAAGCTTCTAGATTGCAGGGACTCTAGTTCCGACTCCTTAAAACTCAGGGGGTTTGCCCCCCCCCCCCGCCCCCAACCACTTAGGAGAGAGGTAGTTCATCCAGCTGGCCTCTCTCTCTGCCTCGGGGAGCCCTGGGGGATGTTCTTCAGACGCCTCTTCTGCCAGGTGTATTATGGGAGTTGTAGTTCTGAACTCTTAAGACTAAATTTTGGCAGGGGTGGGGGTGGAAGGGAGAGAGACGGGGGAAAAAATGAGGAGAGGGCTGTAGGGAAAGTTTGTTGGGCTCTTTGGTCCTGTGAGAGGTGTATCCCTGTCCGAACTGTCCCAACTTTTCTCCCAAGGCATTGTGGGACTTGTAGTTCATCCTACACACTTTTCCTCTCAAAAGTGGGAAATGTGGTTCACCATGTGCCAGAGACAGTGGGACAGAGTTTCTCAAAGTGGGGCCTGAATTGAGACTTTGGATTAATGGATGCAGAGCCCTTCTGTCCCCGGTTTTGGGGGTTCTCGCCCTTGTCTTGCCCCTATCTGCAGCCCTCCCACCACCGACCTACCTGTGTCTCCCTCCTGCAGCGAATGTGACTGTATCCTTGCCTGTTCGGGGCTGTGTCCAGGACGAGTTCTGCACCCGGGATGCGGTGACAGGCCCAGGGTTCACACTCAGTGGCTCCTGCTGCCAGGGGTCCCGCTGTAACTCGGACCTCCACAACAAGACCTTTTTCTCCCCTCGAATCCCACCCCTTGTCCTGTTGCCGGCTCCTAAGCCCACCACTCTGGCCCCAACCACCTCTGTGACTACTTCTACCCCAGCCCCAACCACTGCTGTCTCTACCACCAAACCCACCTCAGCCCCAACCAGCCAGACTTCTCCACAGGAAGTACATCCTGAGACCTCGTGGAAAGAGGAATCTAGCTTGGCCGGAGGTGCTGCTGGCCACCAGGACCGTAGTAATATGGGGCAGTACCCTACAGATGTGGCCTCTGGTAAAGGCTCTGCAACTTTCTCCATTGGGTTGGCGGCCCTTCTGTTGGCTGTGACTGCTGGCAACTTACTATGAGTTTTCCCATCTAGAAACCTCTGTCTTGCCCTATTCCCTGGCCCTGGGCACCCTCTCTTCCATTACTTCCCTTTCCCTGACTGGACTGGGCTGGCCCAGCCTCTGTTCTTCCAATCTCCCCCCACTCTCCTCAGCTTCTGCTGCACTGGTTTGCGGCTTTGGGAAATAAAGTTACCATTGTATATATCCTTCCAGGGTGTTGCAGCTTTTTGAAGGCAGCAAATGCATCTCCCTCATCTTTGTCTCTCCCTCCTCTCCTCATGGTGCCTGGGACCGAGAAAAGTCAGGGCTGTCACAGGGAAAATGGGAGAAATAATGATAAGCTTCCTGTTCGCCTTCTTATAGCCAATCTGGAATATGGGGGGTGGAGTGGGCTAATCATGCCCTCCTCTGCTGGCTGCTGCCCCTGCCCCCATCTCTGTGGCAATTTTTTGGGCATCCGACTTCCTTACTAGACTGTGAGCTCCTCAAGGGCAGGGACCGTGCCTTATGGCCCTGTGTGGTCAGCTTCTGGCACAGAAAGGTCTCAATAAAAATTTAATTCCTTTGTATAGTGTTTTGAAGGATTCATTTCTTACACTGACCTCTTAGTGTAACCTCTTAGCTGAGCTAGGGCAGGAGTGCCTAGACCTTTAACAGAGAAGCTGAGATCTAGAACCATAGCCCTGGGGGAAGTTGGGGTTTGAACTCCTTTCATCTCCTGGGGTTTAGCCAGCTTGTGGGGCAGTCCCATTGACGAGGGGGATGCCCCGTGAAACCATTAAGTGGGGATGAGGGTGAATGGGGCTTTTAAGCAACGTTTGGGAGCAGAGGAGAGCTTTGTTTAACAGGTCGTACACCCTCCCCAGGCCCCGCCCACCTCATCTTCTGTTTGGCTTCTTAAGAGTCTTTCCGTGGGCTTAACCACTGCATCCCACTTGTCCAGAGGTCTCAAGGGTGCTGCTGTCAATCTCTGCTTCATGTTGGGGACTTGGGGCCTGAGCTCCACCTCCATCTCCTCCAATCAGATGAAGGCGTAGAGGCCCCTGGGAGGGAACGCCTGGTTTGGGCCTGAGGCCCTGGCCGGCTTTGGGACTGCTTGGTGGAAGGGCGACCAGGTGTGGGCAAGAGCAAGATAATAATAGTAATCTTTCCAATATCACTATTAATGAGAAAGAGTATGACGACTCAATAGTAAATGATGATTATAGGAACAAAATAGGAAATTAATAAGAGCATGAGCAACAGTAATAGTAACTAAAAGAAGGTTAATAACTTTTAAAAGTCTTACCACGCTGCCAGGCCTGTACTAAGGGTGTTTGCACCTGGAGTCTCATTTAATTTTCCATATACATTCTCAGATGGGATGATTGGGGAAACCGAGGCTCAGAACAGTAAAGTAATTTACCCACAGCAAGTAATCCGTGTATCAGGTACTGTTTTGTGTGTAATCCATGTATCAGGTATTGTTTTGTCTGCTGTACTTGGATTAACATACTTAATTTATACAACCATCCTATGAGATAAGTGTTAATCATCTGCATTTTACAAGATGAAGAAACCAGACCCAGAGAGGTTGAGAAACTTGCTCCAGGTCACCCAGCCAATAAGCACTGGAATCCAGATTTGAACCCAAGCCGACCAGCTTTACAGAGCGTGCCCAAGATGGCTGTAACTTTTCCTTCAGCTTGACTAAACTTGAGATAGTCTTCTCTCTGCTTTTATTTTATTTATTTATTTTTTTTAGATTTTTTTTTTTTTTTTTTTAATTCGACAGAGACACAGCGAGAGAGGGAACACAAGCAGGGGGAGTGAGAGAGGGAGAAGCAGGCTTCCCGCGGAGCAGGGAGCCCGATGCGGGGCTCGATCCCAGGACCCTGGGACCATGACCTGAGCCGAAGGCAGACGCTTAACAAGTGAGCCACCCAGGCGCCCCTCTCCCTGCTTTTAAACCCCTGACCTCCCTATCACCCCGGGCCCTTCCAGAACCCAGATGGTCTAACCACAGAAGCCCCAGACCTCACTTTTCTTAGAGCATTCACTTTAGAAAACTTGTCCTTATAGATTCTTTCTCTGGCCCTTTGAGATGTATGTAAATGTCTTTAAAAGCCTCCTGCCCAGAAAATGTCTATCTCTCGAACCTGGGAGCCAGCTCTTTGAGATGTGAATATCAAAGGAAATAGTACCCCTGCCTCCCAGTTTCCTAAGGGGGGGTGAGAGCCTCACTTGTGTGGGCACCTTTCTCCACGTTGTTAAACTGCCTCCTGTCACAGAGATACAAGCAAATTTCCTTTTCCTTTGGGGAAAGCCAATTAGCAAACACAGATGACCTAAGATCTCCGCCTCACCCCACCTTTTAAAAACTCAACTGCTCTTTGTTTCGGCTGAGTTAGTTGGGACGGAGTGCTGGCCTCTCTAGAGCCTCTCCTGCCATACTCTTGACGTCGTTGGGTGCAGTGTTGTTGGGGTTCTGTTGTCTACTGGGCAGAAGTCATTCACATCTGAAGTCATTTGCATCTTACCAGAGAAAAATCGTTTGCAGTTTATCAATCTTGTCATTTGCAAAGTTAAATCTAAACCTTATAGAGTCGGGGCCCTAATCAGTAATAAATAGTAGGACTTACAAAGTTACATTCCCCCTGAGAACCAGATAATCCTTGAGTGGTTCTAGAAGTTAGACAGTGCTCCAGTGAGGTGTAGAAATATATGTGGTTCTGTTTTAGTCTTATTTATAAAGTAAAAAAAAATTTTTTTGATGAAGTAGGCTCTACGTCCAGTATGGGGCTTGAACCCCAGATCAAGAGTTGCATGCTCAGGGGTGCCTGGGTGGCTCAGTCGGTAAGCGTCTGCCTTCAGCTCAGGTCATGATCCCAGGGTCCTGGGATCGAGCCCTGCATTGGGATCGAGCCCTGCTTTGGGATTGGGATTGGACTCCCTGCTCGGCGGGAAGCCTGCTTCTCCCTCTCCCACTCCCCCTGCTTGTGTTCCCTCTCTCGCTGTCTCTCTCTCTAATAAATAAAATCATTTTTTAAAAAAAGAGCTACATGCTCTACCAACTGAACCAGCCAGGCACTCCTTGTGTTATTTATAAATTTTATCTATCTATCCGTTTTTCACATATATTAAAACTATGGACTGCTTCACGAATTTGCATGTGATCCTTGTGAAGGGGCCGTGCTAATCTTTTCTGTGTGGTTCCAATTTAAGTATATGTGCTGCCAAAGTGAGCACTTACCTTAAATTTTAGATCAGCATTGCCCAACAGAAATATATTGCAAGACGTATTTAAATTACATATGTAATTTAAAATTTTCTAGTATCCACATTAAAAAAGTAAAAAAAGGTGTGGTTACTTTTTTTTTTTTTAAAGATTTTATTTATTTAACTGACAGAGAGAGAGAGACAGAGAGAGAGGGAACACAAGCAGGGGGAGTGGGAGAGGGAGAAGCAGGCTTCCCGCTGAGCAGGGAGCCCGATGTGGGGCTCGATCCCGGGACCCTGGGATCATGACCCGAGCCGAAGGCAGTCGCTTAACCAACTGAGCCACCCAGGCGCCCCAGTGTGGTTAATTTTAATAGTATATTTTAACCTCATATATACAAACATCATTTAAATAAGTTATCCATATAAAACCATTATTAATGAGATATCTTATGGGGATTTTGTACCCAGTCTCTGGGATCCCTTGTGTATTTATGCTTACATCACATTTCAACTCGCAGTAGCTATGAGGCAAGTATTCAACATCTAAAGCTTTAGAACTTTGCATAAATAGAAATATACAGCATATCCTCGTTTGTGTAAGGCTTCTTTCACTCCACAGAATGTGGAAATCATGGTTTTTTTTTTTTATTCTTTTATTGACGGACGCCTGTGCTGTTTCCAGTTTGGGGCTATTATGGATAACGCCCGCTATGAATATTCTTGTACACTTACTTTTATGGACATAAGCTTTCGTTGCTCATGTGTAAATTCTCAGCAGTCAAATTGCTGTGTCAGAGGATTGGCATGTGTTCAGCTTAGGAAGAAACTACCTGACCCTCTTCAAAACCGGTTGTACTGTTTAAAGGTCCTGCTAATGAATAAGAATTCCTGTAACTCCACATTCTCATCAACGTATGGTGTCGTTCGGAGTTCTTCTAAATGTTATCCCATCTGTAGATGTGATGTAGTGTCTCATGGTGGTTTTCGGGTGCATCTCCCTGAAGACTAATCATGTTGAGTCGTTCCTCACTTGTTTGGTGTCCGAGGGGGTAACAGGAGTCACTTTGTGGGGAGCTGAGAAGGTATGACATCAGAGCGCAGGCAAGGGAATGGACTTGACTGTGTAGGCTGACTTCTAGAATTAAGGGCCCACTGGAGGTTATGAGTCATGAATTTAAAGTAAGACTTTCCAGCAGGGTTGTGTGATTTTTCTCCAGCTTTGGTCACTTACATGGGTACAGGCATTGAGCAGGTGGAAAGGGGGACATTGCCAGATTGCCTTGTCAATAGGACAAAGCTGGGGGCTCGAGTGTGCATGCAAAAGAGAGACTATCGTGATTCAGAAAGGATTTAAGGTCGGAAAGGAGGGAAGGTGGGACCTGAGGGATATAACAGAGGGGTCATTCATTCATTCATTTATTCGTTTCATACATTTTTTAAAATTAAGTAGGCTCTACGCCCAACATGGGGCTCGAACTCATGACCTTGAGATCAAGAGTCTCACGTTCCTCCAGCTGAGCCAGCCAGGCACTCCAGATTTCATACTTTTTTTTTTTTTAAAGATTTTATTTATTTATCTGACAGAGAGAGACACAGCAAGAGAGGGAACACAAGCAGGGGGAGTGGGAGAGGGAGAAGCAAGCCTCCCGCGGAGCAGGAAGCCCGATGCGGGGCTCGATCCCAGGACCCTGGGATCATAACCTGAGCCGAAGGCAGACGCTTAACGACTGAGCCACCCAGGCGCCCCAGATTTCATACATTTTTTTAAAAAGATTTATTTATCTGAGAGAGAGAGAATGTATGCATGCAGGTGGGGG